GTATCTCCACGAACTACGTGACCACAAGGACGCAACGCAGGTTGCAAGCCATGCTCAGAAGTATTTCATCAGGCAGTCCAATGAATCTCGACGTAAAAGACGTTCCGGTCTTTTTGATATAGTTCCTGACGTGGTTAGTTCCCTCCCTCTTACACTTTTTTTTTTAAATCAAATTTTACTCAATATATTTAGAAGGTGGGTGGTAATGTTTTGAATAGAACATTTAGAATTTTCTTATTGAACTATTTTACAGATATTAGATGTTTGCAATAGAGTCACGGGAGGCATAACCCGAGGACAGTCATATAGGAACACAAATGCAAGGCAGCGATAAGCTTCCAGCTCCAGCTACTGGCTCCTGCCTCATCGTCGATTCTAGAAATTGAAGAATGTGAATCGATGGACTCCAGCAACTCTATCGCTAGAGAGCCACCAGTTGCAGCAGAGGACAACATCCAGTCCCTATATTGTATCCAACGTACTTCTCTCCTTTATCCTCTTTCCCATTCCCGGTATGGCCAACTGGGTACATTTCCAGTCCTATCAACGTGGTACTTAGACCCACAACCGTGCATTCTAAAGTCCCCATCAATGTGGATGAACTTTGGGCATGTCAACAACCACTTTCGTTGAACCTGGTGGGAGGGTCGTCCACAAGGCACACAGCTTTTCAACCGAGTCCGGCATCAGGTGATGGTTCAAACATGAAAAGTGTGAATCACGCCGTCTCAGGCGGATGGTTCGTGTTTTTGTGAGTATTAGCATAGCCGGAATGACTTACCTTGGATAGCATATGATGATGACACAATAGGGTTTTAGCTGGTTTTCGTGATATCATTTAACTTAATAAAGATTATTTTATATATATGTATGTGGTTGTTTGACTTTGTAGTTGTTCAGCTTTGACCATTAGAAATAAAATCCAAAGAAGAAGGAGAAAAGGTTATGATTTTAATGACAATGCCTCTGTTTGGCTTTTGCATGGCGAAGATGTATTAAATCCAACAATACATCAACATCTTCGAGTTAAAACAATTTATCGTCAACAATGAGGCTTGGTTAAATATAAATATTATAAATTTGACATTTATAAATTCTTAAAATAAATAAATTGGATTAAATTTAGAACTAGTTTTATTTCACCAAATTCAACATGAATATAAATGTTGGATTTTAGATAGATGTTGCCAAACCAGTAAAATGAATAAAAAAACGTAAAATGGAAAAATAAATTATGCTTAAATGTCCAAATAAAATTATTTTCAAAATACTAATTTTTCTTTAATGTCAATCTTTATATATAAAAGAGGAGTTCTCTGAACACGGGATTGACACGTGTCCAATATTTCTATTTATACAAATTTAATGCAAACAGTCAATGTTGGGAGTTAAAATAGGGAAAGGGTAGTAAATTCTAATATAATTATGAATGTGCAATCTTGAATGAAAATAAATAACGAAAAAAAAATTCTGTATTCCAAAGATAAAATTTTCGTATTCCAAAAATATATGCATGTTATAAATGTTTTGGTGAAAATAATACACTTCAATTAAAAACTTAGATGAATATATATGTTTTTTTGTCAAATTAAAAAAATATATGCATGTTATATATATATATATATATATATACCATAAAGATATATAGA